GAAGTCAACTAAAGGGCTAATGACAACCATCAAAACGCCTCCTATATGATATAAATAAATAGATATTTGATCCAACAAACTCTGTTCCAATTTAACAATAACCGAAGAGATACTAGAATAATGGTCACACATGAAGATAATAAGAAAAAACTAGTATTATTAAGCTATCTTAATTCTTTCTTTTTTTCAGACGAAAAGGTTTCTACCCTCAGTGTGCTATGCAATAATGTGCACTTCGGAACACGCACAAAAATAACACCAATAACAACTTTTCTTCATGATAAATCATGTTCTGATAAAAATGGTACTGTCTAGGCAAATAGTTAAAATTTGACCAATTTTAGGTGGAATCTTACTGCAGTCTGCCCACTAAAAGCTGCGATAAATCATTTAAATTTTCAAATTGGATGATAAGCAAAATTGTCTGAAAATGGAAGTACTTTAATTGTCGGAGTATTTAATGTAAACACTTGAAATAAAAACTCAGTGTCTGTTTGAGATTGCAGAATTTTTGAAAAAGTAAATATAAATTTCAAGGGGGGTGTGAGATAGACTTACCTCCTCGTGGTGCACCCTGGGCAACGTATACTCATACGGCAAAAAGTCTCTCAACCGGCAGTTGACTTCTGATTTCAAACTGCCATAACCCCACTGTATGCCATATTCAACCCCTACCACAGTACTCATCATACCCTTTCTGTGCCTTGGTGTCTGTCTGTTTCTTTTACATCTGTGAATCGCTCTTCTGTTCTCCCTCTCGAATTCTTCTCATTTTGATGTTCCTCTTCCCCTCTGTGAAGCCCGAAGTCAACTAAAGGGCTAATGATAGCTATCAAAACGCCTGTCATTTGTTATAAAAATAATAAAATAATTTCAAGGCCAAGTGCAGCCTCACCGTTTACCCTAAATTGAATACATTTCGAGAAGTTTAAGTGCCACTGAACATAAGAGGTAAAAATGTTAATATCTCTGACGTACTTTCACTGAGTCACTCTCGGCTTTATTCATAATTCTTGCAGCTCGAGAGGACTGTCACTTTACCGAAATTTTTATAAGCTCTCAACTGAGGATCTCCCACATAGTTTAAAAATTTTGAATAAAGTTCTCCCTAAAATTGCATGATTTAAGCCTTCAAGTATTTTGGCTCTCGCGAAATGGAAATTTGCAACACATTTTTAGAGCATAAAATGGGAATTGTCTTATATTAACTTCTGACCATTTCCTTCAACTTCAGGAAGTAAACTCCATAGTCAGATTACAAAAAAAGTAAAAAGTAAACACCTACAATTGGAACCTTTCGTGCAAATGGTATCAAGGAGAGTGTGGAAGAACCCCTTAACGAGGAGCATATATATATATATATGTATATAGATAAATAAACTTTATTTAATGTGAATCATCATAGATCATTTCATGAAAACAATTTAGTTCCTCTCTTCGAAGAATAGGTGAAGTCATTTACTGCATTCATTGAAAAAAGTGCAGGAATCCGGAGACCACAATCAGTGTGTTGCTACTTGATGGAGGTACAATCCCACACGTTCTAGTTGTGGTATAACGTCAATAGCACTTGGACAGTAGATTCCTCTGGGAACTCCGGTGCACAGTTTGTCAAGAGTTGAGATTTCGCCCATGGTATTTTAATTAAGGAAATATCTTTGAAGAGCCCTCATGGACTAGCAACTAAGCATGCGGAATAAATGTCGTAGACTTAAGCAAATTAGTCTAAAGGACGCGCTAATCACAGAATATGACAGAATATGACTGAAGGCCACAGAATTTCGGCCTTTCTAATCACTATAAGCTGTCCAGCAACACAACTAGACAACAGTACGGAAGCTGACTGTTGCCAAGATGGTCGCTTCCATCCTTCCTCCTTGCACTTCTTATGGTTCTCGGTCCTCACTTACTTCTCAACACATTCGTGAATTACAAATCCATCATCAATCGGACCAGTTCCTGAGATCCTCAGCCCTCAACGTGCGAACTAAACTAGAATTCATAAGTACATGAAGGGATCTCTTCTCATAAATCAAGCCATTTAAAAATTTTAATGAGGTCGAATTTCTCAAAGTTTGTTTTAACGGTAGCCAAAAATTTTTTAACGGAAGAAGTTTGATTTCATCGTCACACCATTGAACTATTTCCTAGTGGGCTTTGAGAAATTCCTCTTACTCAAACTGCAAGATCTCATTAAAACATGTAAGGTCAGTGAACTGCATTTCTGCCAAAAACAGTTCACTTGAGGTGGCATTATTCTGCACTAATGAAGAAATCAGTCTTTCTTGCACAACGTGACCAAAAAACAACTTCAAGAGATTAATCAATAAATGTCATGAGTTCTACACGTACACTTTCCGTATTCCCGACAATTGCTTGCTATCGCAAAATTCAAAGCCACATTTGATGCGTCAATGAGAATAACATGAATGGCAATTAATTAATATATGTTACCTAAACTAAAATACATTCTGTCGAACAACGAGAACTTCCAAGATATCAATGAGAATGAAATGACAGTTAACTTCAAAAATAAGACAATGTTAATACATCGACCTCCGTTCAATAATCAATCTGAGTTGTTTTCCAACGAATGAGATTTTCTTATCAGTGTGTCTCATATTGGGTTCAGATTATTTACGTAAAAACTATTCAAAATATTGCATTTTTATGACATTCGCGATTGATTCAACAAAAAATTGGGCATTTCCATCATAAAAGGCAAACAAACTCTTTGAAACAGACTTAGTCGAAATACGAAGCTTTGATATTTGGAAAATCTGAAATTTCTTTCACCGTTGATCAATTGGATGCCGTCACTCTCAGCTTCTCATGTTAATTCTACCACGTCAAAAAAAGGGTAAATAATATCAACTGAACTCTCATCAGCTAAAGTTTCCTGAGAGCACTAATACAACTAATAACATTATTGCCATGATATTATCTAAATTAGTATCCAAAAAAACATAAATAGAAATTTAAAATAGTCCTTAAATAGCCGACATTTGCGTAACTATATGGAGTGCATAAATTTGATCAAACTAAATATTTATTCAAACACCATAAAAAGAAAAATCCATGTCTCGTTGAATTCATGTGAGTGCTAATCAAACTCGATGTTTCATTTTGACTTCATGGTAGCGTAGAATTCTAAAGTAAATGTGCGAAATGGAAGCAAATTGAAGGAAATGATTGTAGCGATGAAATAAACTCACCTTCAAAGCTTATTTGACCGTCTCCATCCGAATCGGCCTCCTTGATAATTGCGGCGATTTCTGCCTCAGTCAAATTTTCATCCAGCATCTTCATCACATGTCTACACGAGGCCAAAGAAATTAGGAAAGAATGAAGCTTACCTCAATTCATCCGCACTTATAGAACCATTTCCATCCTTGTCAAATATTTCAAAAGCCGCCCTGATCTCCTCTTCTTCGTCACCCTCCTTCATATTCTTTGTCATCAAGGTGAGAAATTCGGGGAAATCGATTGTTCTATTTCCTGGAATACGGCCATAATCTCAACACACACATGACCCACCATCAATATCACCTTCATTAATCATATCTCCAAGCTCCTCGTCAGTAGGATGTAATCCAAGTGATCTCATAACAGATCCCAATTCTTCAATTGTTATCGAACCATCACCGTCCTTGTCAAATAGATTGAAGGCTTCTCTGAAACCTTCCACTTCCTTTCTGGTTAGACGGTCAGCCTATTTGTAACATGCTGAAAGTAAATTCACCAATTACCATTTCAACGTGACATAGATGAATGAGGAAAGTGGGTAGTTCACTGTTTATATACTCATCCACCCCACCCCCACCCCTGTGTACTTAAATGATCATTTGATTAATAGTTCATTTTGAGTACTCAATCTCATTATTGCTCCTTTTTCATATGTTTTAACTACTGCGAGTGTTTATTGGCTTTGAGCAAAAACTCCTATTCCACAATACCATTGATTTGAATTTGTAAATTCCAATTGGTTTTTAGTCTTCTACTTTGAACTCTCCGAACTCATATTTGTAATGAAATGTGTGCTAATCTGCCGATAGGAGCATTCTGTTGATGCGGAAAAGCCAGCACGAGGGACCATC